CCCCCCTTGAGGAACACACGCTTTGGGCTTTCACCCCAAGCCTCCCTTAGTATCAGGAGTTAGTCTCTGGGACAAGCTCGAAACTTACTAAATATGGAATGTCCCTAGATTGTGAATTTGGACACGGGACGAACACCATTGTGTTCAGGACAATCTCTACATTCCGTAGATATGCCAAATGAGCAAATCTGGACACTTTCCATAAATACCATTTGGGACCGAAATGAGACTAACACAAAGGGCATGATAGCGAGGGTGTTTGGCAGACACGGTAAGCTATCATCTAGTGATATTGAGGGACCAATCTCAATATCGTGGGGGTTCCCAACACTAGCAAGTGCAAGCCAACATCATGAGTTTCTCATCACCGTGTCAAGTCTGCTTGACTAAATGACAACTTAAGATTTCCTTCCTTAGTGCCCTTCCGGTCTAAGTGCACATGTGATGACCAGTTTCTCAACTAGCTTAGGCAGAGACTGATAACGGGTCCAGCAATACCGACCTCCTGCCATCGTGGCAGTAAGGTAAGAGTGTCCGTAAGGACTAGCCGACAGGTAACTTTCGATACCTGAAGTCACATGCACGACACTTGCCATTTCAATATTTACATTCTCAATATCACCTTAAGGATGATATTTTTTATTTTGTGGGGATGAATCCTGATGATCATTTACAGCTGATAGTGTTTTTGATATTTATTCCATGCTTTCTCTATGCCTACCATAATTCTCCTGTTCTAGGTGGGCATATAGGACATCATTGTGTGATTAAGAAGTTATGTAGCTCTCTATTGACCGAAGATGCAATGTGATGTTATCCAATATGTGCATAGTTGCATTTAATTCCAAGCTTGTAAAACTCCCTCTCATTTTGTAGAAGGATAGTTGAAATCAATTGTAATTTCCCATATGTTTGAGTTAGTGGCGTTTAATCTGATGGGGCCTTCTTCAAAGTTGACTATTGGTAACGAGTATGTCATTATTGCTTCTAGTTACTTAACTCACTAAGTGGAAGTTAATGCTCTTGCTAGTACATCTACAACTGCTGTTAGATACTTCCTTCTTAATCGAGTGGTATTTTAGCATTTATGTCCGAAGTGAGCTCTTTCAGATAATGGTTCTATATTTATGGCTAAGGCATTTCATGTTTTAACATCTCAATTGGGAATATGCCACACTTTCACGAGTGTTTATCATTCACAATCAGATAGTTTGGTGAAATGGCTCATTCGAACCTTCAAAGGGACGAGCTACCAATAATAGTCTTGGGATTAATATCTGTGAAGCATTATTCCACTAATCCAAGTAGAGTCTGTTGAACACTTAGGCCACTTACAAGTGGGATAATAATGATGCTACAACTCTCATTATCATTCACCTATGGAGTACAAAGTGGATGACTTAGTGTTAGTTTATTTTCTTAATCTTACGGCACATGGTTTGTTTAAAGGGCTCTTTGCTCATTATAAAGGACTATATCGTGTATTGTGGCAAATTAAACCACAAGTTTATGAGGTTTGGCATGATGTCCAATAGGCTGATCCTTTAGAAACTGTAGCGCATGTGATCATGGGATGAAATTTGGATATATTGTTACCGTGAATTTTTAGAACCTTGGGAGATAAATGGGGATAAAATAGCCACTAAGGGCTCTCTCATTAAGCAATTGCCCTTTTTTCAATTGGTTTTTCTCCCCGGAAAGAAATAAAGTGCACTACATTAATTATACATATGCAATAGTTGAAATGCTTTATATAAAGGGATCAGGAAAAATTAATATCACTTATAGATCCATTGATGCTTGTTCCTCTAGATCTCAGCCCATCCACTAAAGAATCTTAATTATTTTCCATCATTCTAAAAGGAGGGGATGATGTGATATCCAAGTGTATGGCTATGATGCTATATATTAATATTAGTGTAGTGGGATTTTGATAGCTGTCAGATTGGTTTTAATCAGGACTAATTGCTCTTGCATATAAGTTAGAGTTTTTAGGTTAATTAATATGCATATTTCTGTATTCCATGCACTTATAAAACTTAATATATTAATAAAATTATAATAAAAGTTAATAAAATAAAATAAAAAAATATTAAATTTAGAAAACATTATCAAATTATAGTTACAAAATAATTATATTAAAAATATTTTTCTTTTAAAATAGAGGAAATTTTCTTTAGCAAAATTTTTGATTCTCTAAATACTATATATCTGGTATATCTGGGAAAGCATTTGATAAGTAAGTCATTTATGAGAAGTTTATAGTAATAATGTTTAGAGTAAGTTTTTAATTTTCTTAAGCAAATAAACATGTGGATGATAATGAATATACCTAGAATATGCTTGAATATTCAAGAATATTCTACCATCTAACAGTTGTTATTAATCTAGATTAATCTTGTATTTATAAATTATAAACAAACTTTCCTAAACACTTCCTAGTATATTCTAGTTATTCTACTATCTAATGGTTGATATTCAATAAATGTTTATAAATTATAAACATGTTTATAATTATATACTTCCATTTGATTAATTGGATTAATAAATCAGATTAAACAAGCCAAGCGGTTTTAGAAAAAATTAAAATATAATTTTAACATATAAAACATTAGTAACATTTTTAGTTACTAATTACTAAGTTCTTCCAAACCCTCTGTAAACTTCACTTGTATCCAGAGCTCACCCATTACCACTTGGCTCAAGGTAGATGTTCTCAATCCCGCTCCCTTGAAACACAAGCTCGAGCATGCCTAACTCTTCCCTCTGCCAAGGCCTCCACGATCTGCCATCTTACACGTTTCTGTAAGGCAAACTATTCTAAGCACATCATCAAGAAAATCCTGCCAAACAGCTTGGACTCATGAAATCTATGCAAAATTCATTCAGCGAGGTTTGGGTATATGCTGTTTACTTTAAACTCTGCCAACTTTGTGATGGATTTTCTTAAAGAGAAGAGACAGCAACGGGTAGCATTTCGAGTCTCAGCGCGCTGAGTTTGTGTTTCACGGGAACTGGATTCTTAAACAAGACCTTGATCCCAGCAAAGCCAAGTGGAGAAGTTCTAATAGAACCTGCAGATCTTAACAGTGTCTTAAGAAGAAAATATCCAGCAAATTAAACTTGGATCTTCCATACACTGTGAATTCAGCTGAAGCTTCCATTGCTCGTTTGCCGCTAAAAACTTATCTGTCTAGAGAAACAGACGCCAGTTTGTGCATTCCAGGTGCCAAAATATTTTCGGATGCTTAAAAATTTTAAAGATTAAATATTACAACTAATTAGGTTTTGTCTATCCAAAAATGGCCATGCCGATGGAGCCGGGAGTTTACTGGCGAGTCAAAAACAAGGCCTGGAAGCCATACAAGCAAGACGTTGCTCTAAAGATCCTTGTCAAATATTTTGAGGTACTGTTCCTTCTTCAAAGATTGCTTTTCTTTTTCCAATTCATATTTTATAGTGGTTGAATAGCGCACTGCAATCCACAATGCCATTGGATTTGGGTGAACGAGGTTGGCACAGTATCAATTTCGGGACAATGAAGCTGAAGAGTAGACTCGGAAGATACGATAGAAGCGTCAAGATAATCCTCGCGCCCGTAGAGGACGAGCTCATCAAACTGATGGATGCCAAGTTTTTGGAGTCGACTGTCCTCCCTTATCATTCCGGGATTACTTTTTCGCAAATCCATCCAAACAAATTATCCCCGGCTACAAAGATCTACAAGAAGTTCGTGAGAGCTCTCCAATGCTACGCCACCCTCCACGACAAGAGCATCTTGGGTACGTAAACTCTACAAGTCTGCCAGCTTTTCACGCTCTTCCTGCCAACCTTTGTGCTAAGTTTCTTTGGTGGGTAATGCAGATGAGATGCGGCAAGCGGTGAACAAGTGCAACATCTCAAGCCTCAAATCGTTGGAGTTTGTGTTTCATGGAAGCTGGCAGAAAAACATAAGCTCCATCCTTAAACGGGGTCTTGATCCCAAGAAAGCCAAGGACAGTGGCTTTGGACCCTTTCTGTGGGTTGGAAAGACTCCACGGGTGAGCTGGAGTTACTGTGGTTGCGACCCACGTACAATGGTGCTGTTTTTGGAGCTCAAAAATCATGGCGAGAGCGACTGGACCTGGGATGGCAGACGAAGTGTACCACTTAACAAGAGCCATGTCTTACTGCCAGTTGCAAAACTAGTTATAAACTCGCTCAACGATAGCTGATACTTCACCATCTTTTTTTTGTATGCCAAAAGTTGATTGACATTGTGTGTGTCCATTTTTTTTTTGTATGCCAGAAGTTAATTAACATTGTGATATGAGAGAGAGAGAGAGAGAGAGAGAGAGAAAGAGAGAGTCAACGCCCAAGAATACCAGTGAATATTCACAAAACACGTGGCACTATGCCATGCTGCCAAATGTAAGCCGTTGAAGTCCACGTGTTTGGCTAGGGCAAAACATGAGCGACGAGGAAGTGAGCGAGGCGGTGGTGATGGCGGAGGCGCCGCCGGTCAAGAAGAAGAGCGTCAAGATCGCCGCCGCTGCCATCGCCAGCGACGAGGCAGCGGATCCCAGCGGCGCCGTCAATGTGGGCGGCGATCGCAAGGCCAAGAAGGTCATCGTGGCCATTGACGAGAGCCAAGAAAGCATCCGAGCTCTCCGCTATGCTCTCGACACTGTCGTCCAGCCCGGGGATGGGCTTGTGCTGCTACACTCGCAGTTCATGCCCCATAGCTACGTTGGTCCCGGCGGCCCAGGTACTACTCTTCGTCTCGTTCTAGCTTTTTCCATAGAGAATGTGGGGCTTGCTCCTCTTCTTTTTCTCTTTCGAGCTATGGTTTGAGTTCTTTGTGATGGTTTCCTCGATTAGAGCTATGGGTGTTAGATCTTTTGTCTTTGGCACCAAAGTTTGCTCCTTGTGATCTGCGCTTCACACGCATTTCCATCAGCTCTAAAACCAGGTAAGCTTCGTTGGTTTTTGCTAGAGAATTCAGTCTATAGAGTTTTTGTGATCTGCGCATGTCCATCAGCTCTTAAACCAGGTAAAGCTTCGTTGGTTGTTGCTAGAGGATTCAGTCCATAGAGTTTTTTTTGTGATCTGCGCTTCCATCAGCTCTAAAACCAGGTAAAGCTTCGTTGGTTTTTGCTAGGATTCAGTCTATGCTTTTCTACTAGCTTTCATTCCTTGAGTTTTGGCTTTGGTAGATCTTTTCTTCCTTGGATTGTAGCTTGAAACGCAAAGACATTGGTTCTGTAGGCTTCTACATCACTCCCGACTTGGTGGCCGCCACAAGGAAGCACCAGGAGAACTCAAGCAAGGTCTTGCTCGACAAAGCCAAGAGGATTTGCGGCGATGCCAATGTGGGCTCCTATTCTGTGTTTAAGATGGTCTTTTATACACGTTTCTCGCAGGTCCACCACCCAGAGCTTCTGATGGCTACTGGAGATCCTCGCGACAGTATCTGCGACGCCGTGGAAAAGATCCATGCCGACTTGCTGGTGATGGGAAGCCGCGGTCACGGAGCCATCAAACGGTGAGCTCTCACTTTCTTCTCGAAGATCACTAAAGCTCTTTTACTTTCTCGACCGACACAGGACTTTTCTTGGCAGTGTGAGCGACTATTGTACTCACAACGCGAAATGCCCGGTTTTGATCGTCCGAAAGTGAGCCAAAGTGGATGGCTTTGTTTTTCTTTCTTTCGTGTATATATACGGTATGGATCTGCAAGGTCTTTCTTTTCCTTATTTCTCTCAGCTGCACAAATCGGAGGCTTTACTTTTTTTACAGTGACAGCAGCCTCCGCTGCTTAAAGAATAATATGAATGCGAGAAAGATCGCGATGCCAGCAACGCCAGACGTGATGAGAATCCACTTGAAAGCTCGCGGCTCGTCAAAGAGGTCAATCTGGATGTTCATCCCGAAAACACCCGCAATCACGCCAAAAATTGCCACCACGAACGTCGCGGTCGTGAGCAGCAACTCAAACTGGATCAGCTGGTTCCTCACATTGTCCTGGACAAAGACCATCGATCAAAAACCGAAAAACCTTGGATCGACAACTTCTCGAAAAGTACCAGTTGGATGTTGATGAAATCCTCGGTGTCGTCAATGTACTCCTTGAGCTGTGTATAACCAGCGAGATTAACACGGATAACACCACGAGCCTTTCTTTTTTTCACTCGAAAATCTCGAAACCTTCGCCTTACCGAGGTGAGCTTGTTGAGCGTGCCATCGATGACAACAAAGTAGGCCTCGAGCAGCATCTCCAGCTCCTCCACTCGCTCCGTTTCACTGTCCGAGCCGGGTGGCTGGACCAAGAGGTTTCTTCCCAGGCTCATCGTCTTGTCCAGGCTCTTGATCTTCTCGGTCGGCGGGCTGCCAACCGGAGACACAGGGGCCGACACCGACGCACAGACGTTGTTTGAGTACAAGAAGCCCTCGGCTCGCTCCTTCTTCTCGGTTAGATACATCTCGGCCATGTCACCGTCGTCGTCCATGAGGTGCTCGATCTCGTCCCGGACCTGGAAGTTCGTGTGAGATGAAGTATCAATGAGGTTTGTGAGCTTGGGAGGCTCGAACAAACACCAGTGAAGTTGGAACGAAGATGAAAGAGCAAGGAGTGTGAACAGCACCAAAGTTCATGTGAGAAGAGAGAAGCAAAGATCAACAAGTGAGGTTTGTGAGCTCGGGAAGCTCAAGAAGATGGAGTAAAGTTGGAACGAAGAACAAGGTGTGACTCCAGCAAACTTATAGGAGAGAATGAGAAGAGAGAAGCAAAGATCAACAATGAGGTTTGTGAGCTTGGGAAGCTGGAGGAAACACCAGTGAAGTTGGAACGAAAATGAAAGAACAAGGAGTGTGACTTAGTGGTTTCAATGGAAAGAAAGCTTCCAAAGGGGAAACGGAGTAAAAGCAGTACCTTTTGGACTCTCCTGGTGAGTGCCACGAGCCTGCTCTTAAGCCTACGAACTCGCTCCAGGTTGAGCGTGCTGATCTTCGAGGTTAGATCGTCCAGAACTGGATACGCTTCCTCTTCAAGCTCTGTAGCCTGTCAAAAAGAGCAAAAAGACCACCAGTGAGTAGCAAAAACGTGCCACAGGAAAGAGGAGAAAGAACAAAAGAGAAAAAACGAAGCAATCAGTAGTAGTATCACAGAAAAAGCAAAAGGCACCAAAAGAGAAAAAAATATTGAAAAATCTCAGAGAAGAAAAAAAAAGCATGAAAGTTCTTCCAAAGTTTTCTTCCAAGAATCGAGGAACTAGAACTTGGTTACCTGTGTATCAAGATACGTGCACGCCGACTCCAGCGCCACCTCGAGCGCTCGAAACTCGAACGGCAAATCGTCCGCCGCCGACGATCCGCTAAACATGTCCGTCTCTCTCATCAGCGCCGCCCTCCTCATCTCCTGCTTGGCCGGATGATCCTCACTCTCACACTCCCAGCTCCCTCCACCACCACCTCCACCACCTCCAAATCCAATCGCTCCAATCCCACCACCACCACCATATCTCCCAGCGATGTTGCTACTGCTCGAGGAGCTCGTCATCCTCGGCATCAATCGCCGCTGGAGCTCGCTCACGTACTGGAGCACGTAGTGATCCAGCGAATTCAGGAGCAGCACCTCGTCCGCGGTGATGATACACCGGATTTGCTCCAAGTTGACAACGATGGCCTTCTCTCGTCCCAGCAGCGTGGAAGGATAGACAAAGAGTGGATCCAGCAGCCGCAAGTCGCGAGCCGGGAGCTCACACCTCCTCATGATGCCGAACTTGTCCATCTCTAGCACCTGGGAATTGCCCGCGCGGTCGATCCGGATCCACGACCGGATGCCCTGCCCGCGCTTCTTCAATCCCACCACGTCCATCCCCTGGAAGAGCGGCTTGGGCAGATTGGAAGTGGGCGATTGCGCGCGATGGAGGAGCTTGTATCTCAGATGATCGCCCATGCTTGGTCGCGTGCTCTTGCTCTTGCTCTTGCTCTTCCATCAACGCCCTAAAACGTCCTGGGCGGCACTACCACCCCCGGGCGGATTGAATTGCGGGATTTGGAGCGTACCCATTTGCGAGCGGTGCCGGGGACTCACACCCAATTCGCCCAATCCATAGCCCACGGCCTATCGCGCCGCCTCTCCATCGCCGCCGCCATCGCCGCCCAGGAAGAAGAAGATGGCCGCATTCGGGCAACCTCTCGATAGGTAAAATTTTACTGGCTTCGTTTTTTCTCCTTTTTTACCTACTTATCCTAAAAATCTTTGTGTGTGTGTAGTTTACTCACTGTGGCCACCATCTTCCTCCAAGAACTCCATTTATAATGCCTGGAAGTTCTTCTTCCTTGATCTCTTCCTCCCAGAACTTTGGAGAACTCCATTTAATGCCTGGGAGTTCTTCCTCCTTGGATCTCACTGCTGCTCTAAAGATCTTTGTCTTTCGGCGATCCAGCAGCAGTAATAGCGCCCCTCGTGTCCGAGTCCCCCGTGATCTTATCATCGCCATCGCCGCTCAGTGAAAGCGTGCGTTTGGATCCAGCGAGTGCTACTCCTAGCACTAGATTGTCTTCTCCAAAGTTTGCTGGAGGAGATTTCTTGAGCTGTTGTTCCTCGTTGTTACTTCCCTGGCCTGTGCTCTTTGTTGTTGGAGGAAATTTCTTTGCCTGTAGTTCCTCGGTGCTCTTTGTTGTCGGAGGAGATTTCTTTGCCAGTAGTTCCTCGTTGTTAGTTCCCTGGACTGTGCTCTTTGTTGGAGGATATTTCTTTGCCTGTTGTTCCTCGCTGTTACTTGTGCTCGCTTGATTCGAAGAAGAAGAAGGAACTGTTCCTGTTACTGTTGCTGTTGCTGACCCCGTCTCTTTCCATGGATCGTCCACCTGTTGCTGCTGCTGCCTGTCTCTAGCTTCCTTTTGCTTCACTTTCAAATCTTTCGCTGTCTCGGATGGTCCTGACTTTGTCTCTTGCAACTCTTTCGCTTTCCCTGTGCTCTCGTTACTCGCCTCCAGCTTGATCTCTCGTTTCGGCGAAGCTGGGGGTTCCTTGGGCGATGTCGACGCCTTTGGTGGCTTGCTGCTGTCTTTGATCGCTTGCTTTCCTAAATGCTGCTTTGTGTTTTCGCCGGTCTCGCTGCTTTTCTGGTCCTCGGCCTTAATCGTCGCTGGCTCGCCACCACTGTCAGCCGAGACTTCCGAGATCTTTGCTGGAGGTTTTTCGAAAGCCGCACCTAGCAAGCTCATGTCTTTAGCATTAAGTCCCATGGAATCCAAACCTTCGAGAGGTGTCTTTGGAGAAGGCTGTGCTTCTTCCATATCCTGTTTCGGAACTTCGATAGGAGCGACAGTGTTTGGCGCCTCATGCTTCGCCTTCCCAGACTCGGCTGGTACTGCGGATGCGTCTACGAGGAGCAACGGCCTGCCATCTTCGTTGGACACGTTTCTGTAAGGCGACTGGCGAGTTTCTGCTTCGTCGTATACCCTCTGGATAGAGCGAATGGGAGTGGCAAGTCGGGCATTGTGATGGCTGATGACTTTGAGCAGGTTGAGAAGAATAATTTCCTGCCATGAAGAATCATAAGAACGCAAGTAGCGGCAGAACAAATACTAACCTTCACACTGAGATATTCTTCGTAGTGGGAAGTTTTTACGAAGCAAGAAATCATGATCTGCATTCAAAGAAAAAAAAGGAATTAGTAGAAATGAAGATGTTTTCCTACCATAAGCGACTGGTTTGACGGGTCGATGTTGTCAAAGAACACTCTTCGATGCAATCGTCTGTGCTCCACTTGTGGATGCTTGGAAAGAACTTTTCTCATGTCTGCGACGATAACCTGAAAGGAAGAACAAGTGTTTAGAGAAAGAAAATCAATAAGTGTTTTCTTACGTGGATCTTGCTAGCATCCAAATGACTGAGACCAATGTACGTCTTAACACGCCAATGAGTTTTTTGACTTAAATTGCGGACAACGCTCATCGTGAACTTGTGGTTGGGTATATGCACAGCTTCGCGATCTTCGCCTCTGATAACTGTAGGAGACCACCAGCCAACATGCTGAAAACATCGAAAGGCATTAGATTACCATTTGCTATAACACACAATTTACGTATCAACCAACCTCGACAGTACCAGAAACTTCCTGCCCATCGATTTTAGTTTGTATCCACTCGTACTCAACAAACGGCCGGGTAGCATGAATCATAACACTGGACAAAAAGTTCGTAAAAATCTACAAAACATAAAATCCTGTCATTTGTTTTGAAGAAAACAGAAAGGAGAACGTAATCTAACCTCTCGACCTGCTAGAGTCAGCAACACTGTACCGAATCCACCGGCCGTCAGCCATTTTTGAGTCGAGAAACCAAGGAGCTCCATAAACAAGCAGACAGCCGCCACCCACACCGAAGTGGACACTGCACTGCCAATAAAACGAATTCCAAGCTGCAATCACTAACCAGATTTTCATGACACAGAGAGTAAGTAGCATACAGTACGTACATTGCGAGAGTCTTCATTGTTGTGACGATCCATCATGACCCTTTGAATTTGTTGAGTCATCCTGAAACACACCAAAAAAAGAAGAAGAAAGAAATCCATGATCCGAGGCAAATAAGCTTCATACCTCGCTGTGCAAAACGCAAATGTCAGGACAGTTGAAAGAGATCGTAGAAAATTCAAGAATCTTTCCTTGACAACTTGGCTTGTCTCGGACGAAAGAACGACGGGGTCTAGAGCCCTGCAAGATCTCAAGTTCTAGAAAACATGAAAAGAAAAGTTACACCAAGATATCTACCTGCATATTCCGATGATCGCAACCCACAATAACACAGGCTTGACATAGGACGTAAGTATGTACTTCGTTCGACTCTTGTCCCATTCACGTCGCTGATTGAAACACTCCAATATCAGCTAGAAAGAAACAAAAATTCACGAACTCTATCTTTCCACCTGGAAGATATTGCGACGAATGAGTTGGATGGAAGGCAAGAGTCCCCAAAGAGCAAATGCTATGACCCCAGCAGCAGCCACGCATTGTACTGGACAAGGGAATTTTCCAACCGTCGCGAGCGTACTGGAAGAAAAGCAAAGAAAGCTAAACCAAAACATCACAAAGAAAAATTTCTAGAACCTTGTGAGCGCTCTCTGCGTGATCCTCAGCGATGTCACCGCGATTTCCTTGGGCAATTCCAGCGCAATCGCTGCTCTTGAGCAGCACAGGCCGCGGCATTTCGCCAATCTCGCGAGCTGGACGCTTTGCAGCGACAAAGCATCCTGCCAAGCACGCCAATTCCCACAAACAATCCCGAGAAACCTAGCTTCAGCCTACCCGTCGAAGGAAGGAAGAGCTCAGCTCCAATCCACGCGCTCTCGATGGAATTCGCGTGAGCTGCAGCGGCGGCAGCCCCTAATCCATCCATCGCCAAGAGAATCCGAGCTGAGAGAGGAGTAGCGGCATTGGAAAATCCCGCGCCATACCTTGAGGGAGTTGGGGCGTGGTAGCGCCAGTCCCCGGCCTCCATTCATCGCGCCATGGAAGAATGGAACCCTAAATTTCCTTTTTTATAAAAAGTACTTTTAGCCCTTTCATGCCGCTTAAACCCTAAATCCTCGTGATGATGTTCTCACTACCTCTAAGTCAAACGATTAAGCTTATTATTGCTAGAATATCTCACCAGTTGAGAACTTGGAAACCTCTTTTTTCTAAAAGATGGACTTAGCCTTTAATCTTAGAAACTACTTGCTGGCAGTAAAACATCGGCCTTGTCAAGCGGTAAAATTCGTCTGCCATCAGTCCGGTTGGATTTACCATGATTTGTGAGTTCCAAGAACCATTGTTTTCTCACAGCTCTGGCTCCTGCAATACTCTGCACTCACAACTGGAGTTTTTCCAACCCACAAAAAACGGCCATGGCCAGTGTCCTTGGCTCTCAAGGATGGAGCTTATGTTTTGCAGCGGGCTTCCATGAAACACAAACTCCAAAGATCTGAGACCCAAGATGCTGCATTGCTCCACCGCTTGCTGCATCTCATCCGATCCAAGTTTCAGTAATCATGTAATCACCTTTGTAAACGAAAAAGGTGGCAAAAATTGGTTTGAGTGGAATTCCAGGGTTGTCGTGGGATGAGCGTGACTTGCTCCAGAAAGCTGACATTGATCAGTTTTCTGAGACAATTCACGAGGTCGACCAGGATGATCTTGAGACTCCATTCATGCTTTGTGCATGTATTTTTCACCTTCATCGCTGAAAAGTTGATGGTGTGCAAACCGAGATACCTCAGAGTACTTGGAAAGTATTCTTTCAGCAGCTCATATGGCTAACGCTAGTAACTGTAATAGAAAAGGAATGAGAAATCAATATTAATTATGTATCACTGCATCCACATGAAAATACCTGACAAATATGGTGAAAATCCAATGGAGATGTGATACCCCAACAGATACAGTGATTTTTGGATGGCAATTTTCCTGATGGGAGAGGAATGTACCCGATGGGAAAATCTCCCATTGGGAAAATGCTTTCCCGATGGGTAGATTAATACTTCCTGATGAGAGGCAGATGCTCCCGATGGTAAATATTTCCTTTGTAATTCCCAAGACAGACAACTTGAAGCGTGATTCTCTGTTTTGGGTTTAGGGTTTCTTGTCATTGTTATAAGGCAAGGGCAAGATCAGCATTGGGTGGCATAATGAGTGCAATTGTTGTGATATTAGGGATGTATCTAGTAGGACAGCATTGATTGATTGTTGGTGCTGGACAAGCACGGAGGATCATGTATATGCTTGTTTTGTTTATATTCATAATTAGTTCTCATTTTTGTATTCTTTTTATTATTTGGATGCTGCTTCAATCAGCTATGGTTGACTACCTTGCTAGATATGAAGATGTGTTCTCATAACTGCCTTATTAGAATGCATCTAAAGTGTATTTGAGATTGCTCATGAGGCATGAGAGGGCAGGAGGACAATCTAGCAATTAGCTATCACCAATGCATTATCAAAGAGCTGGGGTATGATGAAAAAGACCATGTTCACTACAAAGATGTCCATGATTTAGTTAATGATAGAGAAGTTAAGAAACATATAAGCCCATCACACAAAGGCTCTTTTTGATCTAGATAAGAGGAAGTGATAGTAAGTTTAGTTGAAATCAAAGCTACTCATCACTATATCCAAGTAAGAATATTTTTTTCACTTTTATCCTTTTAAAATTCTTTTTGGCATTGTAGGTATACAGTAAGCACCTCCATAGCCTCAAGGTGACTTGTGGATGTGGTCAATGAAGAATATATGCAATAAAGTTAGAATAGCAACATTGAATTGGAACTGAGCAATCTTTCCACAATGCTTGTGGTTGATGACCTGAGCCAAAGTTGTGTAGTACCTTTGCAATGGATTTGGCACCTTGACATCAAATCTACACACTACTATCAACTCTGTTTGTGCATCAAAACAAATTACAACCTTTAAGAGTAGGTGGTGTATGAGAGGTTGAGAGCAGAGAAGCTAGATGATGAGTTGGCTGTAGTAAACGATCATATTATGACCCTCACAAATATCGTCAACCACATGGGCATCATTGACATGCAGAAGAGTATGTACCCTTTTGAGGTGATTAAATTCACTAAACTAGAGGTGATTTCTATAAGGCACCTAAAGAGCATCTACTTTTGCTACATGCATATCAGCCTACAAATTTAAAAAAACCATAGATTATAACATTATTGAGTGATATATGCTTCCTTTGGTATGAAGTCTTGGATGAGATTAGCTTTTACATCTACAGTTATAACCACCCTCTGTATTTACTAAAGTACTTTACTTCCTCACCACATGTGAGTAACATGTAACCTATGTTGCTCACAAGATCACTATTTATGGGCTTATAACATCCAGTTGGTTACAATTGATTTTACTTGCTTCTTGACTATTGTTTGAACCTTTTTCGAAGTCACAAGAAAAAAAGACAACCAACAGTTTTATTGTTAAAATTTGTGATACTCAAATATTCTTTTAATATAGATGACTTCTTGTGAGGCATCTTTTTTATTGGTAAACCTGAACAATTTCTTTTTTATGGAATCTAGCATATTGGGAGGAAACACATCCCATTGGGAAGATCTTCTGATTCCCTTCAAGAACTTTCTCCCATTAACAAGAAATCCTTAACCTGGAAGGAAAATTTCTACCAATAGAAAGAAAAAATTGAATTTGATTCGTTGGGAGGTCCTAATGGGTTCTTTTGTCAGGAATATAATTATCCATCAAGAGGTAAATCTCCTGGCATGAACTCCATTGGAAGAAAAATCTTCCTGACAAAACATATCTTCAGAAGAAAAATGTCTTGACAAGAGGTCCCATTGGGGTTTTTTCTCTTGCCAGGATCCTGTCAGACCTGTTAGGAAAATATAGCAAAAGGAAATTTTTCATTGTCCTATATTATGGAAGATTCCATTTCATTGGGGAATAACCATTTGATCTGGCCAATTTCAATTGCCATATCATGCCACATAACTAGGAAATATTCATCTGGAAGATTGGAGATTTCCCATTAGGAAGTTTAAAGTGTAAAACATTGTAAAACTGCTGCTAAGACCAAACTGGAATGTAATCCATTGTGATCCACTATGGCAATTCAGGTATTCCACAATGAGGAATGTCCTTGTCAGGAAGCCATTGGATTAAGAATATCCTTATGCTTTTCCATAGATATACAAAGTATATGCCATTCAAGGCCATAGAATCTAGCATTCCAACATTAAGACTATAGAGAAAAGATGTGCAAATAACAATATCAATGTCATGACAAATAACAATGAAAAAAAGAAAGAAATGCAACTTTCTCACATAACAAGAAAGTTACCAAACCATCTACGGATAAATTTAGGTTCTTAGAGTTTGTTCTCCAAAAAGCTTTTAAAAATTAAAGAATATTAAATGCTAAAAGATGGTTTTAGTTGAGACTACTTTTGCCACAGGCAGTAAAACATTGGCCTTGTCAAGTGGCAAAGCTCGTCTGCCATCAGTAGTCCAGCTGGATTCACCGTGATTTCTAAGCTCCAAAAACAGCACCATTGTTTTCTCACAGGCATCCTGGCCTTTGGAATACGCTGCACTCACAATAGGAGTCTTTCCAACCCAGAGAAAACGGCCGTGGCCTTTGTCCTTGGCCCTTTTGGGATCAAGACCCTGTTCAAGGATGGAGTTTATGTTTTGCAAACAGCTTCCATGAAACACAAACTCCAAAGATTTGAGACCTGAGATACTGTAACGCTCTACCGCTTGCCGCATCTCATCTGATCCAAGTTTCAGGTCATATAATCGCTTTTGAAAATAAAAAGGTGGCAGAACTTCAAACACGTACCTACAATGCCCCTATCGACAAGGATGGCGTAGCGCTCGAGAGCTCTCACAAACCTTTTGTAGGTCTCTGTAGCAGCAGGAGAGTCGAATTGGTTTGGTTGGAATTCTAGGCTTGACTCATGATGAGCTCTCTGAATGACTTGCTCCAGAAATTTGACATCGATCAGTTTGCTCAGACAATCCACGAGGTCGACAGGTATATTGAGGATGATCTTGAGGGTCCATTCACGCTTTGTGCATGTGTTCTTCAACTTCATAGATGAAAAGTTGACAGTGTGCAAACCCCGTGGATATAACCGAGATAAAGCCAATGGCATTGTAGTCGGTCTTCCACAATCCAGCCACTGTAGCTCGAAAAACAAAAGAAAACAAAACTAGGAAACGAAAAGTCAAGAAAAATAGTCTGTACCCCAAAGTACTTGGTAACTATTCGCCGAGTAGCTCCTCTTTTGTACAGCACCCAAGTCTTGCTGGTCAATCCCCAGTACACAACTGGTTCTGACATTTATATATAGCCCTAAAATTATTCAAACCATTGCTATTTGAAAATTATCGAAAGAATTGAGAAAACTGAATAGAGGAATTCATACAAAAATATCGTTCACAAGCATCACAAGATAGAATGCAAGCGAACAGTCATTAGCAACATTTGGTCGCTTTTCATTCTTGGTAATTTCCGATAGGAAATACAGGTGAAAAACTCTCCTCCAGGACAAGTTATTTGTTAGATTGTATGGGATGGTGGCGCAGTTGGTCAGCGCGTAGGTCTCATAGCTACTGAGAAATCCTGAGGTCGAGAGTTCGAGGCTCTCTCATCCCAATCTTTTGTTCAAGGACAGTCTTAACCACGAATTTTTCTCGACAAGCTAGAGACCACCACGACTGTGAAAAAGAGACATAAGTTACCTAGACACTTGATGAGCAAACGCTTTAGAAGTGTTGGGCTTCTGATGCTCTTTTCCTTTCTTTTACCTCTGTTAGTGACTTTTGCGATCATGGAGATGACAGAGTTGGCGTGAAGTTAAGAAACTTAAAGATCACATCGTCACATTTCCGTCCTCCTAGATCCGTGCTGCAAATTCTTTCTTAGACCATTAGCATAATCGAGAGCTTTACATGAAAAGGATATAATTCACAAAATGGATGGCGTCGAGAAGAAACTAAACTAAGGAGTGAGTAGTTTCCCGAGGAAGAACAGAAAGAAGAACAAGAGATTCACTATGTCAAAAAACGATCAAAGTTTCGACATATTTACATACCTCGGAGGACTCACGAGCCGCTGTGAACGATGGAGAAAGAAGTAGAAGACGAAGAAGAAGGAGAAGAACCGAAGAAGCTTTCCTAGTCGTAGCAAAGATGGTTATCGACGAGATTGGACGGCTTCCCTCGCAGCAGCACGGGGCACCTCCTCACCGGCGGAGGCCTCGTGAAATCGATGTTGTAAGTCGTATCCCCATCGAACTTCTGCGGAGGAGGCGCGCTGCGAGTCGGCCCTCCTCTCACAGGCCTCTTCACCTTCCAGTCCTGGAAGCCCACATTATACGTAGTCTCATCCACGAACTTCGCCCCGGAGTTCCCGAGCGAGCAGCCATGCTTTTGCGGAGCACACCTCTTGGGCATCTGCTTTGGGCAGTATCCCACTCCATACGTGGTCTCGTCGTAGAACTGGCCCGACTCCACCTTGTGTGGCTTCTCGGCCCTCCTCGCGGGCTTTTGCTCCTTGGATTTGTCCCAGTAGTCCACCTTGTAGGTGGTGGCGTCCACGAATGGCCCAGTGTCTTGCTCGCGCGCCGGAGGCCTCATGGGCGCTCGCTTGGGCATGGTTTTCTTGCCATAGTCGAGCTTGTAGGTGGTGTTGTCGTCGAAGGGGCCGTCGTCCTTGCACGCCGGTGGGGGCTTGTGTGGGAGGCGCTTGGAGATGGGCCACTCCGGGTAGCGCTCGCCATACTCGGACAGGATGTTTGGGTCGTAGGGATTCGTCTCGCGCGACGGGCATTTGTGGAGGCCGCAAGTGCACACCACACACATACACTCGCTCTTCCTGGAGCCGCCGCCACCGCCGCCCGAGGTGGATGCCTTGGGCTCCTCGAGAAACGTAGCCATTGTCTTCTTCGCTCCCCCGGAAGGGAGAAAGTGGAGGGATTAGGGCTTATGTGGTGGAAAAAGGCGCGTCGGTTGGAAATCGACGGCCCATGGATAGCCATGCTGGAATTAAACCATCTACGTGGCAGGAGTTGACTAGTGTTTGACCGGAAAAAAAATTGAATTTGCACAATTTCAGAAAATTACAGAAACTTTAGCACGTATAACAGAAAATTACAGAAAACAAGGAAATCCTCAAAAATGAATGAGACTTGCTTGAATCTGTCTCATTGAAACTACATCTCCTTTTGTATCTTCTTTTGGATTTCACAAATGGTGGTGATTGCTAGAAAGAGTCCAGTTCCAGAGCCAATCACTCCCATCATATTTGCAGCAACGGAAACAATGCCAATGCCAAACCCTCCAAGCGCTGCTGCCACTGGAATGTACCGATCGAGCTCCTTTTTGGTCTGGGAGCTCCTGTGTCCTGCGATTGTCAATCCTTGCTCTTTCCACTCTTTCGCTATATCCTTGGAAGACGATCCAGACAATTCAAGCCATGCCTTGGAGATTAGAGTGCTAGACACCACCGTGAAGACTGAGTAAATGAGAAAATGGAATGGCTCTTGGATCATGCTCGACGGTGGATGAAAAACCTTGTATATCGTTCCTCCCAAAGCGCCCATAATAAAATTCTTGTAACCAAATACGTGGCCCAGGCCTTCGTAGACCTTGCCCACGCTACTTTGCAGCTGAGTTAAGAGCATAATTGGAGTCGTTGCCGTGTAGAACAGACGGATTGAATGATTCATATACTGGCCCCTTCCGTTTGTGACTCTGATGATCATGTTGAGAGACTGAAGATATTATATCCCCACAATCACCAGAATTGGTCAGATCAGTGTCGAGAGATTTGGGAGATAATATCTGAAGAATGAATGGCGAACTGTCCTTACGTTGAAGCTGGATATCAACCCCCGAACCAACTCTACAACCGATCCTTCAAATTCGTCGACTCCTCGAAAGTTGGCGGTGATGGGGCTAAACGCGTGCCAAATCACGTCCTCACAAACGCTGCACGCAGTGAAAACGGAAATTGCAGACTGCCCAACACCATATCCCTTTTCTAGAAATTCGTCCATGTAGATTAGCATCATAACTGCTAGAACCAGCTGCAAGATCACCAACAGCGAGCTAATCATACCAATTGGGCCATACACTCCCCCAACAATGTTTAAGATTGCCAAAACGACTGTGAAACACACCCCCGCCATCTTTTGTAGTTTGTTGATGGAGTCCTTCTCTTTGATGCAAATAATCTTTCCACCAACTAAAAGCTGGATTGCCATACTTGCCGTTGCAATCGGACCAATACCCAAATCCATCAGTGTCCTATTTGCGTAGATCCCATAGAGTGGCAATCTACTGCTAATCATGTACACAGACACACACAAGACTGTGTTTGCGACCTTTGTTCCCAGTGGAATCCGCAACTTTGGACTCTCAATCTCCACACTGAAAAGCTTGGTAGCCCCTGCAAACAATCTACTCGCAGCTCCCTTCATCGTGGACAAAGCCATCACTTGGTGTTTAGGTTTTTCCTTAGATCGGTCCACTTATTTATAAGGTCGGGGGAAAAGGTTCCGTTATTGTAAAAAAAGGCTTGACTCTTTCCAAATTACTGCATAGAATTTAGAAGAAAAAGAAAAAGAGGAAATTTAATTAATTGTTAAAGATTGTAAATTTCAAGTTTACTGGACAAACCATTTGAGCAAGAAATTGCTCCAGACACTAACTCTCAACAACAATGGCGTCTGGGGAAGGGCCACTGTCAATTTTTCTTTTCCGCGATTCTTAGAAAAGGCAGTGACTCTAGCATCATTTTTTTTCTTTCTTTTCTCTTCAAACAGTCTACTTTCATCTTGGAAAAATTTCTTCCCTTTTAGACTTTTGTTTGGAGGAGAAGCACGATGAGGAACCCATTGATGTTTCGCTGGAACTGAAGAAAGATCTCCAAGCGAAGAGGAGAGAAGAAAATAAGCGATGAAGAGTAATCTGGGGACATCTTAAATTACTAAACAAGAAAACTTCTTATTCTTTTCTATTAGCAAAAGTGTATATGGGAAAACAAAGTAGAACAATTATCTATAAGTCGTCCTATGCGTCTTTGAGCGTGTAAAACGATTCAAGGTGGCTCTTGCCGACTGCTCTTCGCTCTCCATAAGATTTGCGATAGTCCCTGTAGATGAAAGGTGGGTGCCTCACCGGATGTTCGTCGTCCACGAGCCCTTTTGCCGGGACGATGAGAGCGTTGGCCTCGGGGATGAGGAAGAAAGCCATGGACAGTCGGCTCCGCTCGCTGTTGAGCACAACCTGGTGCTGGACGCTGGGATAGATGTCATTGCTCAGCACCTGTGAGTAAATCCAAGAATCAGAGGAGAGAAACTATACAACGAAGAAGAGAGGCTTTCTTACCTGGAGAGTGTCTCCAACGTTGACAACCACGGTGCCAGGCTCGGGCTTGACCGCGATCCATCGGTTGTTCTTGAGAATCTGGAGGCCGCCAACGTCGTCTTGGTGAACGATGGTGATGAGGATCGGGTCGGCGTGTGGACGCTGTCCCAGAGTCTGCTGCGGCTGAGGACACGGCGGATAGTAGCAAACGCGAACTGTAGACTTGTCGCCTTTTGTAGCAGTGTACTTGCTAAACGTCGAAGGCTCCAGTCCAAGCGCAATGGCCATGAGCTCGACGACCTCGATCGCGAGCTTTTGGTAGGCATCGATGTAGTTATGAACGCTCGCACTGGGAAAGAAAAGTGAGACAGGCACAACGAGATGAAAAACAAGCTAACCTTAGCTCATTAAAGTTTTCGGGAGAAACTTGCCGGATCATGTTGTCTGTGACCTCCTTGTCACCCGAGAAATGAAACGCTTCCAGCCATGCTTTGGAGAAGACGGACTCGGCTCCAAAGTAGTAACCAATTATGCTCTCTGGAAGCCGCACTGCCTTCTTCTTTTGCTCCAGCGGCAGAGCAAAGAGCTCCTTCCCGTCCGACTCCAGCTTTTCAGTAACATCGCTTAGAACCCCGTGGTTAACAAGCCGGAAGAATCCCCACTCTCTGGCGGCTTCCATGAGATCCTTGAGCCCCTTTGACCTGGTTGCGGCATCCTCGGACCTCAGCAACGAGATATCGATGATGGGGACGGTGTCCTCGTCGTTGTAATCGTTGTAAGCAACCTTTGGCCACTCCTCTTGAGACCAGACGTAGTCATCCAGAGTTAAAGAGCCTTGCAAAAACGTAGTGAGCTTGTAGTCAACACCGCCTTGAGTACCGCCTTGAGTAGGAGCCATCTTCGAATGCTTGGGAAGCTTGACCACCATCTATATAGCAGCGCGGAGCTTCTACTCTGGGCCCTGGTCTTTTGTCCACAACCATGCTGCCACCGGACTACGTAATTGTCTAAAACGAATAGTTGACGACCCCAACGTATCCTGTCCGCACCCTCATTCTTGCGGCTCCTGTTTGGCCAGCTTCACTGCCGGACAATCGTATATGCCACCATGTGGATACTCGCTCTAAAGTCTACTCGTAGCTCAGATAAACTGTGCCAAAAAAGAAACAAGGACGTAAGTTTCACGACATGACCAAAATGACAGAGGCTACCTTACAAGGATGTTCTGGTGGAGTCAAGGCGGAAGAGCACTGTAGTATAGCAAAGGAAGGTTATTATATTTATAAAACGCCTGAACAAAAAAGAAAGCACAACAAAAAAAAAAGAAAAAGAAAAAAACCACTACATCTTTAGCCACAGGGTCAGAATCGGTGCGTGCAGGCAAAAAATGTGATCCCATATACATACTACACCAAAGTTTCCTTCCCTTCTAAATTGTAGCACCTACAACGTTGCGTGCTGCCTCCCTCTTCAGTTGTGCCGCTTTGCCTGTACCCCGGAAGTACGCATACACCTCCTGCCAAGCCATAGTTATTAGTAGGATTCTTACGTAGATTGAGATTGCAGTGTATTACCCGGAGAACCCATAGGCTGAGGAGAGATTCCAGGACAAAAAGGCCAAAGCCAACGAGATAAAATATCTGTTCAACCAAGACTCAATAACAGGAGAACATATTATAACACTAAACATACCCCGATTATGACACTGTCAGAGAAGATCTGAATCGCTGGTAGAATGCCCCTGCATAAAAGATGGAATTAGTATAGCAGTAGATAACACATTGCCGCTTACGTCAATGATCTTCCTTTGAACACAATGGGAGGAGCGACGGCGCAGAAGATGCAAAACAAAATGTGAAACTGCACGCACACCACATTACTAAGCTAACAAAACATATCAAGCCACTAACAACGTACCAAATACGCGATGAAGAACCATCCGAACTTAAGAGCACTCTCTGACCTGCAAGGAACGTGTGATTTCCCTCGTGGCTAGCAAACGACAATTGCCTCCAACGCACCTCATAGCCCGATACAGGGGCCTGTACCAAAGGAAATATGATCCGGGAAAGCCTGCCAGGATGTAGATGATGGCCAGAAACCATATCTGCACACCTGTAAACACGAACGCTCGTAAGCACAAAGCTTCCAAAAGCTTAGAAAACCATTACCATACGAGGCACTGACAGTCTTCTGGATCCAGGCTCCGGTGATGGAAATGAAGTTCCATGTCAGGCACAGGAGAATTCCGAGCCAGCTTCCGTAAGCAAAGTACTGCATGCGCTGCAAGTAGGCCGGGATATCAGCCGCAATGTCATGGTGTAGGATCGGAAAAAAGCGTGGCCAGTTCTTCTCCTCCAACACAATACCAGCTGGTTAAAGCCGAAGTGTTAGCAAAGAGGAGAAAACGAAGAACACAAAGCACTAAAGAACCTCTTGCAGCAGCATCCTCTCGCCTTTTCACGTCGGCTTCTCGCTTTCGAAGTTGTTCCTCCTTGTCTTTCAGTTCCTTCTCGCGCTTCTTGAGATCCTAGAGAAAAAAGAGTTAAGCCCAGTCGCGTGGCTTTCGTCTCGCTCACCTTCATGTTGCCCAAGGGAATTTCCACGGTAGCATCGCCCACCGAGGTACGCTCCGGTGCTAGCGGAGATATCGAATTCACCTGAGGAACATTATATGGTTTCTGGAAGAACAAAAAAGTTTTTCTTCTCTAAGCTCGCATCCCCGAGGAGAAAAAAGGAGAGAAAGGAGAAAATTCTAGCCATACCGATTCATAGAAATTGTTGCCGAGATAGGATGGCTTCCCAGTCATTTGAGCACGCACGGCCGGATCCTGGAGTAGAAAGAAAGAAAGAAAGAAAAAAAAAACCTATCAATTCCAGACCATCTGTTCTTCCTAGAATTTCTCACCGAGAAGGGATTGACGTCTTCCTCATCGAATGGATTCGAATCGTAGCGGGACGCCATGCCTGGGGACGAGGATTGGAAGATCTAGACTCACTTCAGCGCCAAACGCCGGTGCATTTGCCGCGGAATCCACAACCTAGCTACAAATCCAAACCCTAAAGCCTGTTGCCGCAAAGATCTGAGCTATAGCTCACCGGATCCGCGTCCTTTGCTTCCTTGGACTTCGGCTCGGAAGGACCGGCGCTCTTTCACTTCCCCGCAAAAGCCCTGGGGAAAAAACTAAGTGGCCTTGATATTGGAAGCATCTCCACCGTCCGAGGGCGTCCAATCGCCACCGTCGATCCAAACGCACTAAAGACTTGTCATTCGTTTCGACTCAAGAAAAACTCGAAACGAAAGTTACAGAGATTTTCTCTGAATCTTTTGCAAGCACTGAAAAGCAAAAGAGCCATTGGCGAAGACTTGAAACTAGTTTACCTTGTATCATTCGCGGAAACTTTGAACTAGTTTACCTTGCAGATCTTAGCTTTTTTTCTCGAAATCGTTTGGAAGGTTAAGGGTAAAAGAAATGAATCATTCACGAAAATTTTGAACTAGAAATGAAACTTAGAGATCTTCGTTGTTCTTCCTAAAATCTTTTGCAAGCACTGAAAGTTCTAGAAAATATCTGCGAAAACTTGAAAATAGTTCACCTTGTAGGAGTTATATCATCAAAACGATTCCTGCTCTTCTCAAAAATTTTGGCAAGCACTGATGAAAGTTCAAGGGGAAAAAAATGACATACTCGCAAAACTTCGAAACTAGTTTACCTTGTATGAACTTTTCTCAACAAACACTGCCAGGGGAAAAAAAATGAATCAGTCCTATGAATTATATCATCTTTACTTAAGTACCTCTCCTGGTGTTGGTCTTTGGGATGGTTCCAAGATTTTTCCTTCTGAAAATCTCTCTGCCAATCTTCACTCTTGCCGACACCGTGTGAGTGTATACTCGACGCAACTCGGCGTCTAAAACACCACACCTGAATAAAATCCATGTATCTTCGTTCGTAAGTCATGAAATGAGAGCTGAAAGTTTGTTTGTAGATAGTAACGCTTTGTATCTCCCTAAGGAAGCGCTCTCTGTCTTCTCGAGCAAAGAAGGGCTGTTTGCCACAAATACGTATAGGTACATTGCTTGACGATCCTCAACCAATCTCTCAAAGAAAAGCTAAGTGTTTATTAAAGAGAAAGTAGTATGCTTCCTCTCTGTGTTAGCTGCTTGTAGTGGAGAAAAAAAAAACTTAATGCTTGGGAAGACAATCGTTGTGTCCATGGGTTTGGACTACCAAATTAAAGTCACACACCAGCACTTCAGATGTATGATTGATTTGTTGTGTCAAGCTTGCTATCTGCATAAGTTTGTAAATCCAATGCCATATGTTCTAGGGGTTGTGGAGTTGGGTATGTTTGTTATCTTCTTCTAGAAATTATAAGGATTCCAAGCAAAATTCTAGAATTGTTTAGAGATTCGAAAAACCTTGAAGCATATGAACTTTTAGCAAAGTTTAGGTTAAGGTATGGCGAATAGGAACTGGGATGGCATGATAGACAAGAAGAAAAGCAGGAAACTGGATCCCTCAATCTGGTCGCGGCTTCCCCAGGACATCCAACACCGCCTCATCACTTTCCTCCCGTTCCCCACGCTCTGCCGCTTCCGCTCCCTCTCCAAGGATTGGTGCGCAGCAATCCAGCAGCAGCCACCGCGGCAGCAGTGGTACATTGCCCTTGGCGACGTCTATGGCAAGTTTCTCATCTCGCCCAACGCCATCTCCTGGAAGGAGTTCACTCTCCCCCTTCCAAGGGAAGCCCGGATCTTTGCCTTGAGCACTTGCTCGGCAGGCTTGGTACTGAGCTATGACTCGACGTTTGCGAGATATTTTGTGGTGCTGAATCCGCTACAACAGACGAGGCGAGAACTGGGGTGTCCGATGCTGGAGGGTGATCACGAAATGATCTTCGCTGCTATTCAGTCGGCACCACCCTCTGGATCATGGTTTGTTGTAGTCGTGACCATAGAGACCAGCTATGGGGTCATGGTGTTCCACCTGTACGATTCGAGGGCCGCGGCGTGGATATCTTCTACGGAATTCACCCCTGTCCAGGAGGATGAAGACCTCGTATGCGGTGTCAGAATGAATTCCATCAACTATTCCAACAACTGCATGCTGCTCCAGAACGATCACTTGTACTTTTTAACTGTTTCACCGGGCAATGTGAGGAGGCTTAAATCGTTCAACGTGTGGAACCCTAAGGCCACCCTTCGAACTCTGGCAACCTGGAATAATCTTCCCTTGGGATTTGAACGGCAACCTTGGTACGAGGTGGACATGTCCCTCATCTCAAGTGGAGGTAAGGAAAAAGAGTTGTTTTGTATATGCTGACGACTTTGATTTTGCAGGGAAGATAGTGATTGGCATGCTCGAAACACATGACAGAAACACAGACGTTAGAACCCTCAGGGTTTGTTTTGTGTATCTGGACGAGGAGAGTTGCAGCTGGCGGGCAATGGCATCCTTGAGCTTGGGCACTGTTAAAATTCCCAAATTGATCAAAAAGCCCGGAAGAATCTTCATGGTGGCTGCTGGAAATGAACACACTACGGAGGTGACACTGCTCTTTCGTTATAGGTGGAGCTGCATCTTTGATTTGGCATCTGGAACGTTGCGTAGCAGTAGAAGTTCAAAGAAACAAATGCCGGCTTTTGTTCCCTTCCATCCCTCCTTCCATCCCAAACTTTTCCTTTGACATATTATATAGTTTTCAAAACTTCGCTGCTCTCTTGGCAATTAAACTTAAAATTAATATACAAATCTAAGAGTGAGAATATGTACAGAACAATATAAATCAGCGCCAAGAGCACACCCAATCCACCACTCTATCACTCGCTTAAAATGTGTTAGCGAGAGGAACTGCCTTTTGACTACTTATCAAAGCATTGTAAAAGTCAATGCCTTATGCTAATCTTTTAATTTTCTTTTAACTTCTCGCCACCTTTTAGCGACAATGCCAAAGACAACTATAGGAATAGACCGCTGATTATTCGTGCACTACAGATCTATGCTAGAAAAGTAAATAGTGGTTAGAGTGGAGAAGTGCTCAAGAGGGAGATGAAACGACTCACTAGAGAACAAGAAAAGCCCTGTTGTAAGGGCTTGAGGACAGATATTGAAGGGAGATACAAGCTCGAGGAGAGGCTACTCTTTGTTGCCATGAGCGATGGCTTCCCGGTGTTGTGGCAAAAACCATTTTGATAGAGATTTGTGAGAAACTCTAATGTGGATGAAGAGGAGGTGCTGGATCAGATCCCCAAGAGGGCACGACACTGGAAGGAGTGCAAGGTAATGGATGAAAATTCTCTTGGAATCAAATGACTAGAAGAGAAAGAAGAAGCTAGTGGAGGATTGAAATTAGTATAGTGAACTAAAAGTGAGGTTTGAGCATATTTTAGATTTACTTTAATGACAAAATATCTCGTTGCCTCTAGTGAAAAGAACTTAAGGTTGCGAAGATGGCCTAGCTTGTCAAAAACATCCTCCTGGAACCTCAGTTCCGCGCCAGTCATGCGCAAAGTAAGGTGAAATGGGATGCTTGAGAAGGTTAAGTTGGCAAGAACATTTAAGGGTGATCAATGAATATTCAATCATCTGACTGAGGGATAATGAAAAGTATCAAACTCTTCCCTCATCATAGCACGGAGCTTCTGTAATGGTAGTAGTGCGATCTTGGCAGCCTGCAACAAAATCATCAAAATACACAACAGTTGCAAAGCATTTGTGCCTTGTGTGCGTTCCTTCCTTTATCTTCGTGCTTTTGTTTTCAAAGGAAGTCCCAAAAAGAATGTGATCTCACTTGTTGACGAACGTAGTTTTCACGCCACCTAAAAATTCTCGCCGTGAGAACAATCCCACAGACCGACCTTGTCAATCCATACCTGGGACTTCTTCGAAGATAACTTCGCGGATATTTTCCGAGTCCATGTAGTACTCGAAGCTGCCGAAGCTCTCTGCTCAATGCATAGAACGATGGAAAGCGAATGAAACAACTGACCGATTCGAGAAGCAAACTTCGAGCGGTGTGTCGAGCTTTCTCGTGGCCTCCTGGAGGATGGTAACGATCTCGGTCTTGTGCGTGCTGGCGAAGAGGCAATCGTACTCGGTTGACACGGACAAGGCGAAGAAATTGTCGTTGAGCTCGCTGAGGAGGACTTTCTCGATGGCTGAGAGGGAGATTCGGCGCTTGAGTGTGAACCAATCCGCGTCAAGGCTGTAGAGAGCCACATCTGTGATGAGAAGGACGCGCTTGCGAACTTTGGATCGGCGGTTCACTTTGATCACGTTATCCGCAAACAATACTTGTCTGTCACCTGGAGCAAAATCAAGACAAACATCCAGGAACTCAATATGGATCCAAAGAAGAGAAAAAGGAGAAAAAAAAAGGTCCAGGAACTAAAAAATGGATCCAAAGAAGAAAAAGAAAAAAGAGAAAGGAAAAGACGAAGGAAAAAAAAAACTTTTCACGTTTTCTAGCAAAATCGGGCATCGCACCATCCAGGAAAATGGATGCAAAAGAGAGAGGAAAAAAAAGTGGAATCTGAGATGAAAGCACGCAAGAACAACGACAAAAACAAGCCTTTCACGCTTTCCAAACAAGATAAAAACAAGAGCACGCAAGAAAGAGCTTCTATCAAAATCGAAATTATCACACCCTCCAGGAACTCCCAAGTAAGAGCACTCGAAGAAAAACTAGAAATCCAGCTCCACGGGACAAATCCGGGCAAGAATTCATACCTTGCTTGGTGAGAAGCTTGAGAATGTGCTGATTCCCCGCGACGTTGATGTAATCCCCCTGGAACTGGCGATACATGGAAGACCGGCGCCGGACCTTGACACCCATGAATGGCTCCTGGGCCTCCATGGTAAGCGCGGGATTCGCACGGAGGCGCGGCGCCTCAACCTCGCCGCCGTCAGCAGCAGCGCCATTCTCCCCCTCCTCGACACGAACCCTCCTCGCCATCGCCAAAAAAGGGACAGAATATTCGCCACTTATCCTTATTCCTAAAAAGCCCGTACGAAATTCCTGGGGAAAAAGAATCTCGAATCTCTCGGACCATGTCATAGTCGCCACGTCACTTTCAGCGATTTGCTACCACGTGTCATTGTCTAGGGCCACCCATTAATGCTGGCGCCATTAAGTGCATGGATGTATGGGTATGAGTATGTATGTATGCTGGACCCATGGATGGGCATGGCATGGCATTATGGAGGGCTGCCTCCATAGCCAGTGGAGCCAGAGTAGCTCTATAGCCTCTGCGAAGAACAAGCGTTCTCCCTCTCCAATGCCGAGGGGATGGGAGATGGGATTCTCTCTGGCGCCCTCGTCCTAGGGGCTGGGCAGTAGGGTTCTTGCGCGCTTTCTTTCTCCCGTGTCGCGGCGATGGCGTGTTTGATCGGTGTTTGATCCTATGAAGCTGGAAATCGCAGGTGAGCGAGCAATGTGTGGCGAATTCGTTGATTGATGCCCGTTTGTGGTGTGATCCTACTTTCCAGGTGGAGCTTTTGCTGCCTGTTGATGGAGGAGACAATGTGAGTGGAATTTGGATCATGGCCGAGATTTTTCTCTTTTATTTTTCCTTCTCTCTCGCTAAAGTGGTGGTGTTTTGTAGAAGGGATTTTTCCTCGACTGGAGACCACCACGACTGTGAGAAAGAGATGTAAGTTATAAGTTCTTTCTTCTCTTTGTTTTTGCTAGCTCTAGTCTCTTGGGCTGTGATGAGCAAACAAATCACCGAGAAGGACAAGCAAAGCTTTGCTAAATGGCTGCTCACTTGCGCTCTGATGCTCTCTTCGTTGTTTCTTTTCCTTCCTTCCATAGCTACTTCTTTGTTTAAGCTTTGTGATGTTTGTGACTTTGGCAGCCTTTTGGTATGGCTGCAGATCAAAGACCGTCCAATTCTCCTAGATCAAGCAAGGTACATTTCGTCCTTTTGGATCTCTCGTTTTTTCTTCTCACGCTTGCTTTGCTTGGTTTGTGTGATCCACAGCCAACTTCCGCGTCCATTACAAGCGTGAACTCGACCGAGATTTACTACTCGCGTCAAAAGGCTGCGTCCGATAGGAACTTGGAGCTCGACAGTAACGCTAACACAAACTGGGACAACCCTTGCATGGCTGACACCAGTCCACTTACAGACAACTCCACAGACGTTGAGCCTTCCCCAAAGGTATCCAATCCTCCTCGAGTTTCTTTGCAAGGAGTTCTTTCTCTTTCTCTTGGAAATGCGCTAAAGTTTTGCTTGTGTTTCAAGGCCGGAAAATCAGCTATAGTTTCCACTGTTCATGACACCAACAAGAATGCAGATACCAAGGTAGGGCTTTCTAAGCGTGCTGGATCAGTTTTCACGAGTTTCTTTGTTTGCAGACGCTGAGGAGACTCGCGCAAAACCGAGAAGCAGCACGCAAGAGCCGGCTAAGGAAAAAGGTGTGTTTTCTATAGAAAAAGGAATCTTCAGTGAGTTCTAAATCTTCGAAGTGGTGTCCAGGCGTATGTGCAGCAACTAGAGTCCAGCAGAATTAAATTAAACCAGCTTGAACAAGAGCTCCAACGTGCTCGACAACAGGCAATCATAGAAATCTATTTTTCTCCTCCAAACTCATAGAATAATCTGCAGGGGTTTTACTTTGGAGGCTCGTCCAGCGATCAAAATGGAGGCAACACCAACAATACCAATGCTGCAAACTCTGGTCAGTCCAAACTTCTGAACTTCCGAAAGTTGATCTCATCAGAGTTTTTGTTTGTCCCAGGTGCATTGGCATTTGACATGGACTACGCGCGATGGATGGAAGAACACCAGAGGCAAGTTAGCGAGCTCCGATCCGGCTTGCAAGCACACATGGCTGACAACGAGCTTCGTGTTCTAGTCGACGGCTTTATGTCGCATTACGACGAACTCTTCCGCCTTAAAGGCGTTGCTGCGAAAGCCGATGTCTTCCACCTCGTCTCTGGGATGTGGAAAACTCCCGCCGAGAGGTGTTTTATGTGGATGGGTGGCTTCAGGCCATCAGAACTTCTCAAGGTACTTGGTCTTTCAGTTTTTTTCTTAGCTTGAGTCTTCGTTTCCATCGTTTTCCATATACTGATCGATGGTTTTGTTTGTCTCCAGATATTGATTCCACAGCTCGAGCCTCTCACCGAGCAGCAGCTTTTAGGAATTTGTAACTTACAGCAGTCGTCACAGCAGGCCGAGGACGCTCTCTCGCAAGGGATGGAAGCTCTCCAGCAATCACTCGCGGACACACTGGCTGCCGGCTCTCTGGGAAACTCCCCCAACGTAGCGAACTACATGGGACAAATGGCCATGGCAATGGGAAAGCTCGGAACTCTCGAGAACTTTGTTCGCCAGGTAACGCGAGCCGCGATCTTTCTTTCTCGCTGATAATTCTTTGGCGCAGGCAGATAATCTCCGCCAGCAAACGCTGCAGCAAATGCACAGGATTCTAACCACGAGACAAGCCGCTCGGGGGCTCCTTGCGATGGGGGACTACTTCGCGAGGCTGCGAGCTCTAAGTTCTCTATGGTCGGCGCGGCCCAGGGAGTGAAGTATCTCGATCGCAAAGAGAAGTTCTTCGCGGGCTCCATAAACAAAGTAAGAGCTCCTCAAAGCTGGCGATGCTTTTCCTTCATTGTTTTTGCTTTGCTTTGCTTTGCTTCACAGGAAATAGCCAAAGTGTTCACGTGAAAGGAAAAACATCACGATTCACGGGTGTATGATATCAAAAGCTGTTTAAACTGTAAACTGGTTGGTTGGTTTTCTCCGAGTTTTTGCTTTCCAATTGTTTTTCTTTTTTCCAGAATTTTTCGCTTTTGTACTGTAGAGCCAGCTATACGCCGTAGTCTGCGGCTTTGGATTCACATACATAACTTTACCTCGAGGACTGGAGCTGTAAGTGTACGGAAGTGGCCAGCTTGCAAGCGGACATTATCCGTCCATGCAAAGCATGCCTCAAAGGAATATCTTCTGGCTTTGGGTACGTACGGGGGCAATTCTTGAGTGGCGCGACCTCTTCAAGAGCGGGCATTTTGCTCAAGCATAATGCCCTGGATAGAACCGTGGCTTGCATGAGAACTCTTGACAATCCCGTCGTTAGCAGGAGAGAATGGCTCCTGGAGATGCAATCCTGCAACAAAGACCCACCAAGCGCTGGAAATTCGAGCGCAGACATTTGATCCCAGGAATACCACCCTCTGCAAAACTCAAGAGAGGGTTTTGATAGCATGCATGCTCGGGACGCTCACTCGTGGGTGATTATGCTATGCCAAGAATGGGCATCCGCGGCGAACGGAGCGCATCTAGAAAAGGCTAGATTTTACTTACATTGAAGTCTTGCACGGCAATGATAAGCTCGTACGCGGGCAAAGTACATGTTTGGCGAAATAACTATGTGGAATATGCTGTTTTGTATAGACTAAGGTTTCCTTTTCGAAACTAAGCCTATTTAAGGGAGGGAATAATATAGGGCAAGAACAATGATATGCCGAATAGGATGGTCGACAAGAAGAGCAGGAAATTGGATCCTTCCATCTGGTCGGGGCTTCCCCTGAAGATCCAATACCGCCTCATCAATTTCCTCCCATTACCCACGCTATGCCCCTCCAAAGACTGGCACGCAGCGATCAAGCAGCAGCAGCGACTTTCGCAGCAGCAGTGGTTGGATCTCCTGGAAGGAAATCACTGTCCCCCTTCCAGAGCAAGCCATGATCTTCATACTTTGCTACAACCATACACAAAATCAACTCTGAGTTCAGTGTTTTCTCTTGTGTTATTGATGTTTTTTTAACTTGCTGTTCAAGTTCAAACCTTCTCATATAATCATTTCTACTCAAATTTAATGTAAATTATCAGGGAAGACAATAAAAACTCAGGGCCAAGAACACACTCGATCACCAATGGCTCACTTTGGAACTTGGATCCCTGCAAAATAGAGGGTTCTCTCTAGCATTCTAGGTTCCAGAGAGAATTCTTGTGGCATATTCTGACGTAAGTTTCAAGTAGCAGCCGGTGGAGGAAATGGAGCAGTACAGTTTCCACGAATCTCCAAGAACGCCAAGAACTACGCATTGTCATCGGTGCTCCACGGAAAGGTTTTATCCTCTCTCTTTCTTTTTCCTTACTCGATGTACAGAGGTAAAGAGATGGTACGATAAAGCAGATTGAGTGAAACAGAGAACGTTTAGCAACTTTCTCTTTGATAAGCACTTCGATTTTCTGCGAGAGGCTCGTCAAGCAAGGTACATGAACGCATTGTCCATAGCCAGGACATCAAACATCCTCGTCTTTTTTTCCGCAACGTGTATGAAGCTCGTGACGTGCTCTGTGCTATGAAAATGATCAGCAAGCAGACTTTCATAGGGAGACACAAAGTCAACGTAAAATCTTGAGGATGGCATCCAGATGGGACGACGGCCTCTCTCGCAACTATCTGGATGCTGCAATAGGCAATTGACGAGAACAAGGTACATACAAACTTCTAGCTTGCATTTCATAGATCATAGGTTTTGTTCAAGTGTGGTGTTTTATACGCCAAGTTGTGTCGGGTCTGGATCTCACATACACTCACACGGTGTCCTGCACCTCGACATAAAACCGCGACAATGAAGATCTGTTTGCTACTTCGTGAAGAAGTTATATGTCTGATGGCCACGTACTTCCAGCTACACTTAAACTATGTGACTTTGTTCCAGAAGCAAATGTGGGTGGGAAGAAGGTGGAGGTCTTCGCTCCCAAAGAACAGCAGCTCTTCTAGATCTCGTCTCATCGTTACTGAGCTTGGAGCCATCTGCTGTTGGTACTGAAGTGGAAACATTAAAGTCGCGTGGAAAGTGAACGATCGATGATATGATTCATACAAGGTACCGCGCTCTTCCTTTTTTTTTCTTTTCCTTCCACAGCTGGAGCCTTCTCCAACAATCCTCCTCGATTTCTTTGCAATAGAAAAAGTTTTGCTTCCTTTTAAGGATAGTTTCCACTGTTCATGACACCAACAGGAATGCAGGTTCCATGGTAAAGCTTTCTAAGGATGAGTCGTATGTGGAACAACTAGAGTCCAGCACAAATAAATTAAACCAGCTTGCTCCAGGGGTTTTACTTTGGAGGCTCGTCAGCGATCAAAATGGAGGCAGCAACAACAATACCAATGCTGCTCCAAGCTTTTAAAGTTCCGAAAGTTTATCTCGAGATTTTTTCTTCCCCTTAGGTGCTTGGCATTTGACATGCGCGATGGATGGAAGAACACCAAAGGCAAGTTGGCGAGCTCCGAGCCGGCTTGCAAGCACACATGGCTGACAACAAGCTTCGCGTTCTTGTCGATGGCTTTATGTCGCATTACGACGAACTCTTCCGCCTTAAAGGCGTGGCTGCCAAAGCCGATGTCTTCCACTTCGTCTCTGGGATGTGGAAAACTCCCGCCGATAGGTGTTTTATGTGCTTCAGGTCATTTGGTCCTTCAGTTTGTTTTAGCTTGGGTCTTTGTTTCCATATACTGATCGATGGTTTTCTTTGTTTCCAGATTTTGACTCTTGATACTTGATCTGCTTGGCTTGGATGTTTGATCCGTGGTTTTCTTTGTTTCCAGCTTTTGATTCCACAGCTCGAGCCTCTCACCGAGCAGCAGCTTTTAGGAATTTGCAGTCGTCACAGCAGGCCGAGCCGAGGACGCTCTCTCGCAAGGGATGGAAGCTCGATACACTGGTTGCCGGGCTCTCTAGGAAACTCCCCCAACGTAGCGAACTACATGGGACAAATGGCCATGGCGATGGGAAAGCTTGACATTGTTCGTACGTAACGCGAGCCGCGATCTTTCTTTCTCGCTGATAATTCTTTGGAGGATCTTCGCCAGCAAACACTGCAACAAATGCACAGGATTCTAACCACGAGACAAGCCGCTCTCCTGGATGGTAAGGATATCTTTTGAAGAATTCCCCTAGCTTGAAAATAAAAGGGAAAGGATCCCAGTTTAAACAGCACCTTTGGCTTATGCCAAGAACGGGGCATTTTGCTCAAGTATAATGCCCTTTATAAACCAGGATAGAACTGTAGCTTGTCACACTCCCTTCGCTAGCAGGAGAGAATGGTTCCTGGAGATGCAATCCTGCAAGACGATCCACCAAGCTCTGGAAATTCGGGCGCAGACATTCGATCCCAATGACACCATCCTCTGCAACAAGCTCCTAGAGATGTTTGGGAGATTTGGCAGCAGAAACTCGCGAGAGGTTTTCGATAGCATGCATGCTCGGGACGCTCACTCGTGGGTGATTATGCTTTCTACCTATGCCAAGAATGGGCATCTGGAAAAATCGGAGAAAATCTTTCAGGAGATCCCTGAGAAGAACATTGTCTCTTGGAATGCAATGCTCACCGCATATTCTAAAAACGGATGTATGCTTGAAGCTGACCAATTATTTAACTCTATGCCCCAGTGGGATCTTGTCTCTTGGAACGCTATTGTTTCAGCATATGCCAAATCTGGGCATCTTG